CAGTACTACCATTCGGCCTGTCACTGGCACCCCGTACATTTACGAAATGTATGGATGCAGCACTTTCCCCCCTGAGACAGCGGGGAGTGCGAATACTAAATTATCTCGACGATTGGCTAATCCTAGCACAATCAGAGAGCCAGTTAGTGACACACAGGTCTTGGATTATCAGTCATCTAGATCGCCTGGGTCTAAGAATCAATTTTGCAAAGAGCAGGCTATCCCCCAGCCAGAATATTTCTTTTCTGGGAATAGTGCTAGACTCAGTGCAGATGACGGCGCGCCTCTCGTCAGAGCGCGCGCTCACTATCCGGCGCCTTGCAACATCGTTCAGAGCGGGTGCGCGCGCCCCCGTCAAGCGATTTCAAAGGATGCTCGGTCTCATGGCCTCAGCATCAGCTGTACTCCAGCTAGGATTGTTGCACATGCGTCCTCTCCAACGCTGGCTCAAAAGCCGTGTCCCCACTCACGCGTGGCGCTCGGGCCACTTTTTAATCAGAGCGAATCACGGCTGCATAAAAGCCCTGACGCCCTGGAAAGCTGTCGACTGGTATCAGTCCGGCGTGAGTTTGGGCGTGAACACAAGGAGAAAAATGATCACGACAGATGCCTCCAAAATAGGCTGGGGGGCCCTTTACGAGGGCAGGCCTGTCTCCGGCTTGTGGTCTAACCCGGAGAAGCGCCTACATATAAACTGTCTGGAATTGAAAGCGGTCGCTTTGGCTCTCAGAGCCCTGCTCCCGTACCTGAAGAACGAGCACGTCCTAGTCCGAACGGACAACATGATGGTAGTCTCGCATATAAATCGTCAGGGTGGACTCAGATCGAGCTCCCTGCACTCGATGGCCAGGGAGCTCCTCCTATGGTCCCAGCGCAACCTGCGCTCGCTGAGAGCAGCGCATGTGCCAGGTGCTCTGAACCAGGGAGCGGACATGCTGTCCAGAGACAAGGTTCTCCCAGGAGAATGGTCTCTCCACCCCCTGACAATTCAGTGGTTATGGCAAACCTTTGGCAGAGCAGAGGTCGACCTCTTTGCCTCCAAGGAAAATGCGCACTGCCCTCTCTTCTTTTCAAAGAGCACAGACGCGCTCGCCCAAGTCTGGCCGAGCCGCCCGCTGTATGCCTTCCCTCCGGTCGCGATGCTACCTCAGGTCATCAGCCGGATCAGGGAGGAGAAATGTGCAGTGCTCCTGGTAGCCCCACTCTGGAAGAACCAGACGTGGTTTCCAGAACTGATGCAGATGATGAAATCTGCCCCATGGCCGATTCCACTGAGGCTAGACCTCCTCAGGCAGGCCAACGGGATGATCCTCCATCCCCGCCCCGATCTGTGGGCCCTCCATGCGTGGCCCCTCAACGGGTTCCCAGGAACCTCCCCAGTGGAGTGTTAAGAACCATCACTGAGGCGCGAGCACCCTCTACGAGGCGCTTATATGCTCAGAAATGGAAGGTGTTCAGTGACTGGTGTAAATCCAGGAACCTGAACCCTGAGTCATGCGAAGTACCGAGTATGCTCGTTTTCTTACAAGAGCTGTTGGAGGCAGGCCGCACCCCCTCCACGCTCAAAGTATATGTGGCTGCCATAGCAGCATCGCACGACCCTGTGGAAGGACGCACACTAGGGAAAAACTACCTAGTGGTTCGTTTCCTGAGGGGCGCCAGGAGGATAAATCCCTCACGCCCCCCCTCGGTGCCGATCTGGGACCTGGCCACGGTCCTGGATGCACTCAAGCGTGCCCCGTTCGAACCCCTCCGAACTGTGCACCTTACACAGCTCTCGCTCAAAACTGCTCTCTTGCTGGCTCTCGCCTCGGTCAAGAGAGTGGGCGACCTGCACGCGCTGTCGTCAAGCGCTGCCTGCCTGGAATTTGGACCTAACGACAGCAGGGTTGTCCTCAGGCCAAAACACGGGTATATTCCGAAGGTGCTCTCTACACCTTTCAGAGCACAGGTGATATCTTTGGCCGCGCTATCGTCTCCAGCAGACGAAAGCGACGCTAATTTACTCTGCCCGGTCAGGGCGCTCAGAGTATATTTGGAACGTTCTGCCCTGTTCAGACAGACAGAGCAATTGTTCGTATGCTTTGGCGGCCGCACCAAAGGTCTCGCTGTTTCAAAGCAGAGAATATCGCACTGGATAGTTGATGCTATAGCGCTGGCTTATGAAGCCAAGGGTCTTCAGTGCCCCTTGGGCATCAGAGCTCACTCTACGAGAGGCATGGCCTCCTCGTGGGCGTGGTCGAGTGGGATACCCATTCAAGATATTTGTGCGGCAGCAGGCTGGGCCTCACCGTCAACATTTATCAGGTTTTATAACCTACAGGTCCCCTCATTGCACTCTAACATACTGTCGGTCTAACTATGCATAGGCTGGGGTGTGTACATGCTGAGCGCTGTCTCCTCCCTCATAGAATCCGTCTCTGACTGATGTAGAGGATTTTTCATACATGACAGTACATAAAAATGTGCTTGTGTGTTTCTCTGGACGCCCATTGGGCCGTTCCACGTTGTCCTTTGTAAAGCCCGCCTTCGGCTGGCTCGTTGGATAATTACTTTGCTTAAAGGCTCAGGCATCTGCCTCCGGCTTAATAGAGCGAAGTCAGCACGCACGGCGTTTTACATGGCGTTCCCATAGCGTAAGCTACTTACGCAATAAGAGGAACCTCTCGAAAGGGAACGACTTGGTTACTAACGTAACCTCGGTTCCCTGAGAAGAGGGAACGAGTATTGCGTAAGCTGCCGTGCTTGTGCTTGGTCAGTTTGCTTCAGTCGATTGAACCTAAAGAACTCAGATGACGGGGCGCTCAATATATAGCCCTTGGCCACGCCCATCTTGGCGGGCTCTGACGCGCGTAGGCGCGAAGCACGCTCATTGGAAGCGGGTTCAGAGTCGCCCCGTCATAGGTTCGTGCAGTTGCTGCAGCACAGCCAATGACCGAGCTGCCTCGCTCATTGCTGTATGCTGTGCAGCTGCAATGCGTTTTACATAAAGACTTCAATATTTCTCGAGAAAAGGAGTTTTCCCATAGCGTAAGCTACTTACGCAATACTCGTTCCTTCTTCTCAGGGAACCGAGGTTACGTTAGTAGCCGAGTCGTTTTGTGAGACACTCGACTGTCGTAAGGCTGAACGTCAGACACACACCCTCAACTGACGCTGGTATACGGTACGACAGAGAAGACCTGTTCTGTTGAAGAGCATGTAGAAGGAAGAGTACGGCCTGATCACACAAGCTTTTCAGAGTATGTTTAGATCATGAAAGTTTGCTTGCATTTCATCAGTTTATGTAATCCAGTGTTTTCATATATGATTACGAGGGGATTGAAGGATCTAAGAGTTTCCAACAGGGATTTTTACTCTATTTTTTTCACATAGCAGAAAAATAGACTTAAAATACTTTTATTAAAAACTTTTCATTTCTGGTCATACAGACTTAAGAAATATGAAAAAATAAACTGTTAAATGTCTACTTTTCTGAAGCAACACATGGAGACGTGTAAACGTAAACGCCCACAAAAACTGCATACCTGTATTTACTTCCTGTTTTCGGTCGAAGTCCACAGTAGTCGATTGTCTCCCCAATGATCGCGCGCGTGAACTCGACAATCGACTACTGTGGACTTCGACCGAAAACAGGAAATAAATACAGGCATGTGAGCTGGCTGAATTAACATCACTTTTATTCATATCTTTCACATCTAGTGCAGTCAGATTCACTGTGTTCACTCTGAATAAAATCACTCACATGGCTGTGCACTTGTAATGACACATCTAGGATGTTTAAAACTTGCCCCATTTAAGTCAACAGGCTGCAAATCTTAAAAAGAGGATAACACGGTGTAGGCAACACTGATTTTTGTCGTTGTTCTCTGTACTGACAGCACTCCAAATTTACAAAAAAATGTGCTCAATGTTAAAATTGACCGGACCCTAGTTGCTAGTGTGTTTCTATGTGGTTGCTAGGGCATTCTTGGTGATTGCTATGCAGTTGCTAGGGTACTTGGGATGGTTGCTAGGGTGTTGCTATGCATATGTTAGGGTACTCAGGGTAGTCATTAGGGTGTTGCTATATGATTGCTAGGGCATTCTGGGTGGTTGATTTGCAGTTGCTAGGCTACTCTGGGTGGTTGTTAGGGTGTTGCAATGCTGTTGCTAGGGTACTCATTGCTAGCATGTTTCAGATAGATACAATGCAGCATTATAGGACCCCTTTAACAGATGAGTTTGGACGAGATGCCTCTGAGAGTCCTGATTCGATCACAGCTTCATAAACAAGTCACCTTTATTTATATAGCGCTTTTTACAATAAAAAATGTTTCAAAGCAGCTTAACAGTGATGTGAATGAAAATGAATGTAACAAAGATTGTTTTGGCTGTACAGCATCTCTAGATGAAAGTCATTGTCCAATTTAAGTTAAAGGATTAGTTCACTTTTAAAAAAACTTTTGCTGATAATTTACTCACCCCCATGTCATCCAAGATGTCCATGTCTTTCTTTCTTCAGTCGAAAAGAAATTAAGGTTTTTGATGAAAACATTCCAGGATTTTTCTCCATATAATGCACTTTGCTGGGCACCAAACGGTTCAAGGTCCAAAAGACAGTTTCAGTGCAAACTGCAAACTGTTCAAAGGGCTTTAAACGATTCCAGACGATGAATAAGGGTCTTATCAAGCGAAACGATCGCTCATTTAAAAAATAAATAACAAAGTTTAAGTTTAATAATGTCAAATGCTCGCCTTGCTCTGTTCTGTGTGACTCTCCTGTTCGAACTCGTTCATCAAAATGAACAAATCTTTTTTCGAGTCATTTGGTTCATTTAACGAACGAAATGAACGAATTGACTCGGAAAAAGATTCGTTCATTTTGATGAACGAGTTCGAACAGGAGAGTCACACAGAACAGAGCAAGGCGAGCATTTGAGCTTATAAAACTTAAACTTTGTTGTTTTTTTAAGATTTTAGATATTTTTCTTTTTATCCTGCAGCTGTGAATCTGTGAAGGGTGATGGCGTCTGTTAAAGTTGAAGATCTGCTTGAGAAATCACTGAGTGAACTGGAAGAAGCTGAATGGAAGAAGTTTAAGTGGCACTTAAAGAAAGATCATGAATGTATATCAAAGTCTGAAATGGAGAAAGCAGATATCTTAGACACAGTGGATAAGATGGTAGCATGTTTTGGACCAGAAGAAGCTGTGAAGATCACAGTGGAGATCCTGAGGAAGATGAACCAGAACAATCTGGCTGAGCAGCTGGAGAACAAACACAAGCAAGGTAACATTTAATTCACTGTGACAGTAATGTGATTGACTGTTTACTGATTAATGGTTTGACTTTGCACTTTGCTCTGCTGATGTTTGTGTGTGATTTATGTTTCCCAGTGAGTGATCCTCTCTCTCACACACACTCAAGTCAGGCTGAAGGCAATATGAAGACATCTACAGCTGTTGGAGCTCATTCAGAAGAGATCAGGGGTAAATAATCACTGTCTGTACATGGAAACAAGAGATTATATAACATCAAGCAACAATTACAGGGCCAAGAAGCAGCAGCAACAGCTCTTATACAAGTACATTTATTAGAACAGATAGTCAAGTCATTTTTTACGAATGGTTAAATGGTTTACAAGATTAAATTAAAACTTCTGAAAGCAACTTCTACATACGCAGGGTCATTGCAATAACCCCAACCTAACCCTAATACAGTCTCATGTCTTGTTTGGTGTGCTAGATATCAATGGTTTGATAAAAAATCTTGTACTAATTTTGGTCAGCATGGCCTTAAAGGAAAATTCTGTCATTTACTCACCCTCAAGTGGTTTCAAACCTGTATGAATTACTTTCTTTTGCTGAACACAAGGGAAGATATTTTGAAGAATGTCGGTAACCAAACATTCGATGGACCCCATTAACTTCCATAGTAGAAATAAAATATGTTCATACAGGTTTGAAACAATTTGAGGGTGAGTAAATGATGACAGAATTCTCATTTTTAAGTGAACTATTCCTTTAAGTTGAACTGTGTCCAATAGTGACAATCTGATAAATCCAGTTCCAATTTTATTCAAGTATCAAGGCATTTCCATCATTTATGTTGTCAACTTCAGCATAATCAGTTTAAGATGTGCATGTAAACACTATTGCAGTTGAATATAGTAGACACCGGAATTTATGAAAAACACAATCATTAAGTTTTTGCTGTCTTTTCCCATATTTCTCATAGGCTCAACAGCAGACGATAGAGAAGCTACTCTTCATGATTACACAGAGACCAGCCTCACACTGAAGGACAAATTAAAACAGGACTACGAGAAGATATTGATTGGTGATTCAGAGACGGGTCATCGGAAATACCTGAAAGATATTTACACTGATTTATATGTGGTGGAGAATGAGACTGGAGGAAGAGTGAACGAGCACGAGGTGATACAGATCGAATCAAATCACAACCGATTAACTGCCAAAGAGAAGCCAATCAAGTGTAATGACATGTTTAAAGTCCAGTGTGACACGGGTCGACGAAACAGAAAAGTGCTGACAACGGGGATCGCAGGAGTGGGAAAAACTGTCTCTGTCAATAAATTCATCTTTGACTGGGCTGAAGAAACAGAAAATAAGGATTTAGTCTTCATATTTCCACTTCCATTCCGTAGATTGAATTTGATTAAAGAAGAGTGCAGTCTCATGGGACTGCTCAACAAATACTACTTCTTTAGTAGTCCTGAAGATTTGCTCTCTCTTCCTGAAGGTGACGGTAAAGTTATGTTCATCTTTGATGGGCTGGATGAATGTCGCTTTACTTTGAACTTTAAAGATGACGACATATTTACAAATGTAAATGAAAAAACAACAGTGAGTAAGATAATAATAAACCTTATCAAGAGACACCTGGTTCCCTCTGCTCTCATCTGGATCACATCTAGACCAGCAGCAGCCAGTCTGATTCCCCGAAACTACATTGATCAAGTGACAGAGGTGCGAGGATTTAACGATGAGCAGAAAGAGCAATACTTCAAAAATAACAGCAGTCCTGAAGTTGCTGGAAACCTCATCAGTCACATCAAGAAATCCAGGAGTCTGCACATCATGTGCCATATTCCCGTCTTCTGCTGGATCTCTCTTATTGTTCTTCAGCCTCTACTGGCTCGAGAGAGCAATGAGAAAACTCCCACAACTCTCACAGAGATGTACACAAGCTTCTTAATTTCTCAGAAGCAACAGATGGAAGAAAAATACTGTGATGACCCTGAACTTAAAGCCAATGCAGTGTCTTTTGATCAGATTATTCTGAAGCTTGGCAAACTGGCCTTTCAACAGCTGGAGAAAGGAAACCTGATTTTCTACAAAGAAGATCTTGAGGAATGTGGACTAGATATCAGAAAAGGGTCGTTGTACTCTGGGTTATGCACTCGAATGTTTCAGGAGGAAAAGGTAGCAGCAAGAAATGTTTACAGCTTCGTACATCTCAGCGTACAGGAATTCCTTGCTGCTCTTTATGTGTTTATGATGGGCAAAGATGAGAAAGCTGACCTATTTCTTCAGTCCTGGAGAGAAAAACTGACATGGAAACTGTCCAAAAAGCCACTGTTTCAGCTTCATAATGCTACAGTCAAGAAAGCTTTAAAGAGTGAGAACGGACACCTGGACCTTTTCCTTCGGTTCCTCCTGGGTCTGGAGTCCAATCAGAGTGACCTGAAGGGACTACTGCCAGGACTGGAACTCAGAACAGAGGACATGAAAAACACTGTTAACTATATTAAAAAGAAAATAGAAAATGAGAAATCAGTAGAGAAGACCATCAATCTCTTCCACTGTCTGAGTGAACTGAAAGATGACTTTGTGGAGGAAATCCAGAAGAATCTGAGCTCAGGAATACTTTCAGCACAGAATCTCTCCTCTGCTCAATGGTCTGGTCTGGTGTTTGTGCTCCTGATATCAGAAGAGACTCAAGAGATGTTTGAAATGCAGAAATACAGAAAATCTGATCAAGCACTGGTGACACTTCTGCCAGTGATCAAAAACACCAGAAGAGCACTGTAAGAGTCTCCTTTACATTCATTTATAAACACAGTTAGTCTTTTGCAATTGCCTTCAATTCAAGCAGAGAAAAACGTATAAAAGTAATGTGTGTGAAAATAAATGCTGGTTTGATGTTTTATGAAGAGATAATTGTTTTAGCTTTGCTAAATTCACTACAGTTCAAGGTTTTTTCAAGCTCCAGATTATAAACGCTAATAAGCATTACTACTGCTCTTTGTTTTGTTCTCTACACAGGCTACACAGCTGTAATCTCACAGTTCAGTCCTGTGAGAGTTTATCATCAGCTCTACAATCCCCAAACTCCTTTCTGAGAGAGCTGGATCTGAGTAACAATGACCTGCAGGATTCTGGAGTGCAGCTTCTTTCTGATGGACTGAAGAGTCCAAACTGTCAGCTGGAGATACTGAGGTGAATGGTTTAAAATAATGAACTATGCTATAACCAGACGCTGACTTAACCAATAAGCAATGCAAGCAGCCAAAAGCACCTCAAGAGACAAAACATTTGCAGGAATGTGATATTTTTCCATATTTATACAGACGTATGACCCACATGGACTGCATAAGTCTAAGAAAAATATTGTTTGGGGTGAAGGGAAGGGAATGGACTGTATGAAGATTGAATTTTCAAATAGCTTTAAACAGTTACTAAAACTGTCATCTTCTAAGGATCCATTCCGTCTACTCTCTCTATTGTTTTGTGGTGCAAACAAGCCCCATTCAGTCTCAGTCTTCCCTGCACACATTAGCCGCGTTTCCACTGCTGGGCCAGGGCCGAGCCGTGCTAGTGCGTACCAGGGCCAGTCGCGTTTCCACTGTCACTTCCGGGGCTTAATTGGGGCTTACTCGGGGCCAACGTCCAGGATTTCTTGCCCGTTGAATACCTTGGGCCAAAGCGGGCCAGCTCGGGCTAGAGGCGTGCTCAAGGTAAAAGGCGGAGTTTAATCGGTGTTAGGGAAAGTTATGGTCTGCGGCAAGATGCACATTTCACTTTTTTATATCGCGCAAAATAATCGCTGCTCGAAATGGAGAATCGCCTGTACTGGTCTGTCGAAGATACCAAAGCTCTTCTGAGCATTTGGGCAGAAGAAAGAAAGGGTACAACGTCAATTTGACGGCGTGTGCAGAAACGAGGACGTTATAAAATACATCGTTGCTGAACTTGCTAAGCTAAGCATTCAGCAAGCAACGCTTCAAGTTCTGGAAAAAATAAAAAAGGTGCGGGCGCAGTACAAGGCGATTAAAACACACAATGGAGAAAGCGGATCCCAGAGAAGGAACTTTCCATGGTTTGACTTGATGGACGGTGTGCTGGGTCACCATCGGTGTGCTGGGTCACCGTCCCTCTGTTAGTGGCGAGACAAGCCGGGACACTATGGCAGCCACGGCCGGTGAGTTAATATACATGCTATCTTCCTAACTTAAAAAATAAATAAATTCATAATACCCGCTGAAATGGGTTGGGTTGTATGACGTTAGATCCAGAAAGGCGTGTTAGGGGCGGGGTTTAGGGCAACGCTGCGGGGCTACTGGCCCGGCAGTGGAAACGCAAGCCCGGTGCTTAAAGGGTCATGAAACCCCCCTCTTTCAGCTCCAGTCTAGCTCACAATCTTTTTGAAAAATGCTACTTAAATGGGCGTGGATGGCTGTAAAAAGAAGGGAGGGAAGTGGGTGTGGTATGGCCATTACTGTCATCGCCAGTGTCCCATGCATATCGACTGTCACTAAAAAGCAGTGGTAAAACGTGAGGAAATGCTAGATTTTTTTTTATAGCTGGCAAGGTTAAAGTCTTATGAAATACACTGACACTTTATTATTGTCCTTTCAAAAGTAACTGAATGCCCTGGTACATATATTAGCCTACAGTTATCGTAATTCTATTTAAAACATTAATGTAGGCTACATGTATAATTATACATGTCATTATAAAATATATAGTTGTTTATATAGACACAATAAATGCATATATTTGAAAATTATAAATTTTCCGCTTAAAAAAACGTTCTGTGCATAGCCTAGATCTACGCGTCCCCTGAACCCCCATAATAAAGATTGCTCTGTGGAGGTGGATGACTTCTCATTTTAGACACACACACACACACACACATACCTCTGAAGGGATTGAAAAGTCCTCGAGACTTGGTACCGCATCACTTGCAAGACGCAACCTGCATTGGTTGTCAACAAGGCGAAGTCCACCATTCTCCAATTCTCGAAGCTCTCTCTCAAGAAAAATGTTTGCGGCACACACTATAGTTTAGATGTGTCCGTGGTTGTCTAGCCCTGCCCTGGCAGCATCGCGGGGAAACATATTCAACCCACTTGGACTTTTGCACCACGAAAACAAAGATATCACAGTTTGACATGTCTGTCCATAGACATCACATCTATGTGTCTGTCATTGGAAAGATCCACGTGGTGTCATGAATAATTAAGAGACAGTGTCTTCTCATAGGATATGAAATCTCAGTCTCAGTCTCAGCCTGTGACGTGGACACGATGCAGATTTTAAACCCGGAAGACGAAAAAACTCAAATTTAACCCTATTAAATCTAACAGATGCTAACATTGTCTTCAATGGTGTTCAACACACATACCTCTGTTAAAATCTCAGAAAATTTGGTTTGGGGTTTCATGACAACCTCTTAAGGCCCGAGGCCACTGGCCCGGCTCGGCTCGCTGTTAGCCCTGGCCCGGCCCTGGCCCGACAGTGGAAACGCGGCTATTCACTTCTCCGGCCTGTAGGGTTGCCAACTTCAGAAAAGAAAAATGCGGGACAATCGTGGTTCTTTACAGGAAAATAAGGGACACTCAAAATATTTGTACTGTATCACACAGTATATGTATATGTAATTTCAGGTTTGTATGTTTAAAAGGTTCTCAGACATGCAAACATTTGTTTTGCTTAACCTATTTATGTAGAATTTAATTCTAAAAAGAATTTTAAGGTCACACAAAAAAGTCACATTACACAAACCATATAGTTCAAAATAATAGCACTTATCTGAAATAGAAAGGTTTTGTAACATTATACACTACATTTCAAAGAAATTAAAGAAAGTAATAGCCTACATTTATTCAGCATGGACGCATTGAAGGAATCAAAAGTGACAGTAAAGACATTTAAAATGTTACAAAAGCTTTTTTTATTTCGAATAATCTACTTTGAACCTTCTATTCATCAAAGAATCCTGACTCTTTTTTTAAAACATTAATAATAATCAGAAATGTTTCTTGGGCAGCAAATCACATCAGCATATTTTTCCCTCAGGAAGATTTCATGTTTTCTTGCGTGGCTGGATGTTGGACTCATGAACAATAATCACGTTGTTTGAATTCACCAAAACCGATTTTCCGAAAATCAAAACCCGGCCGGACGGTGAAAGGGATTTGCCGTTAGCGCGAGTGCGGATCGAACCGGGAGCGAGACAGCAGAGGATTCTGTTCGCAAATCAAACAATGATTTGTCCCAAAAGAATAAATAATTCTCAATTTGGAGTCTATTATTCGTATGGCCTGATGCGCTTGAGTGTGGGCTGTGATTGGATAATGACCGGTGTCGTGATCATGCTCAAGTGTCGTGTTGCTGTTGTATCAGTCAGTGATTAGATAAGCATAGCAGTCTATTCACTCGGGACAAGGGAGGTCCCGTACGGGACAAATAAATTAGGCCCAAAATACGGGATGTCCCGGCTAATTCGGGACAGTTGGCAACCCTACCGGCCTGGTTATGGCTCTAAATATGTTTTTTATTTTGTCTTCATTATAAACGACTGGCTATTCACGCTGTTTCAATCCCTAATTTATTTTTTCAAAGTTCTCACTTCACATTTGAAACTGTATCAAATGCCCTTCTTGAAAAAAGAAACATTTCATTAAGAATTCCTAGGCAAGGCAAGGCAAGTTTATTTATATAGCACATTTCATACACAATGGTAATTCCAAGTGCTTTACATAGAAAAAAATAAAATAATCAAAACAAATAAGAATAATTAAAACAGTTTAGAATAAAAAATAAAATAAAGTACAGTAAAAACAGTCGGACGGACAGTGGCATAGTGCTCATTCAGTAAATGCATAGCTAAACAGATGTGTTTTGAGTCTGTATTTGAATGTAACTACTGTAGGAGCACATCTGATCTCCTCTGGAAGCTGGTTCCAGTTGCGGCTGGCATAATAGCTAAAAGCAGACTCTCCGTACTTAGAGTGAACCCTTGGTATTTCTAGCTGATGTGATCCTAATGATCTGAGTGATCTGTTAGGTTTATATTCAGTGAGCATATCTGCCATATATTGAGGTCCTAGCCCATTAAATGATTTATATACCAGTAATAATACTTAAAAATCAATCCTAAATGTAACTGGGAGCCAGTGTAAAGACCTGAGGACTGGTGTGATATGTTCATATTTTCTGGTTCTGCTCAGGATCCTGGCAGCAGCGTTCTGTATGAGCTGCAACTGTCTTATGGTCTTTTTAGGAAGGCCAGTGAGGAGTCCATTACAATAATCCATCCTGCTGGTGATAAAAGCATGCACAAGTTTCTCTAAGTCTTGACTGGAAACAAAGCATCTAATTATTGCAATATTTTTCAGATGATAGTATGCTGATTTAGTTATTGCTTTGACATGACTACTGAAACTAAGGTCTGACACTAGAGACACACCAAGATTCCTGACTTGATTTTTAGTTGTTAGACCCCTAGTGTCAAGGTATGCTTTCACCTTGAGAAATTCATCTTTGTTTCCAAACGCAATGACTTCAGTTTTGTCTTTGTTTAACTGAAGAAAGTTTTGGCACATCCAACCGTTTACTTCATCAATGCATTGGCACAGAGAGTCAATGGGGCTGTAATCGTTAGGCGATAGGGATAAGTAGAGCTGTGTGTCGTCTGCATAGCTGTGGTAAGAGATTCCGTTCTTTCTCATTATTTGGCTCATTGGGAGCATATACAGGTTGAATAGGAGTGGCGCAAGAATTGAGCCTTGAGGGACTCCGCATGTCATGGATGTCCACTCAGACTTATGGTCTCCTATACTCACATAATAACCTCTCCCTTCTAAGTATGACCTGAACCATTTTAGGACTATCCCAGAAAGCCCCACCCAGTTTTCCAGCCTGTCAAGAAGTATGTCGTGATCGACAGTGTCAAAAGCAGCACTGAGGTCGAGTAGTACCAGTACTGATAATTTCCCTGTATCAGTATTTAAGCGAATATCGTTTATTATCTTTATGAGCGCTGTCTCTGTGCTGTGATGCGATCGGAAACCAGATTGAAAATTGTCAAAGTATCCATTCAAGCTTAAGAATTTGTTCAGCTGATTGAAGACAACTTTTTCAATGATCTTGCCTATGAAAGGAAGATTTGAGATCGGTCTATAATTGCTTAAGATGGTCTTATCCAGATTGCT